TACTATGTTCAATATTCAATTAAATTTGCTAGCGGTCTAAGAATAAGAGGTCCTAGAGAAAATGCTTATAATAGTTTGAAGCTAACCATTCCTACTCTAAGGTCACTTTGTTTATCAGTAATTCAATTGACATATATATAAATACACACACATAAGTAAAAGATACATACATACATACATGAGTCATTTATGTTGTTTATGCATAGCCTCATTGTCTAGAAATTTGCATTGCAGGTCAGGACTTGACGGGTTTGGCTGGGAGCCCTGCATATGTTGCACCAGAAGTGTTGTTGGGTAGATACTCAGAAAAGGCGGATATATGGAGTGCTGGAGTGCTCCTGCATGCTCTGTTGGTTGGTGTTCTTCCATTTAAAGGGGATTCACAAGAAGCAGTTTTTGAGGCTATTAAGAATTCCAAGCTAGATTTCCAAACCGGGATGTGGGAATCAATATCTAAACCTGCACGAGATCTTGTTGGGAGAATGCTGACAAGGGATATTTCAGCAAGGATAACAGCTGATGAAGTACTTAGTAAGTTTATGATAGATTATTAATGTTTTGTAGCGTGCTTTATCTCTCTTCCTCAATGATGAATACACCAAAGACTAGTTGTATTTGGTCTGATTTTTTGTTTTTTAATCTTGAAATAATTAAAATTAGAAATTTCCAAGTTTTGTTGAAAAGTATCTTTGCCTTTCACATGAATTCTTAATAATTAGAAGGATTGCCTTGTTTTGGTTGGGATAACAGTGGGAATCTGTTAATTCTCACTTACTTTTGTTAGTTTTTATTATGTGTTCTTCTATGTGGTTGAGGCTCTCTTTTTCTCCCTAATGTTTTTAAACAGGAAATAAAATGACAGTACTTTTAAGTTTTAAGAACTGTTCGATTGTTTGCATGTTAAATTAATATTATGTGGTTCAATTTCAGGACATCCATGGATATCTTTCTACACAGAACGTACATTGAAGATCCTGCCCGTTGAATCAAAGTTGAAGCACCAAAATGGAGCTGCTTGCCACAACTTTGTTGCTGCACCTGAACCTAGGTTAGGAAGAAACAGGATGGATGATGGGTTCCTTAATGAGGTTTCAAGCCTTTCAATGCTTTTTCTTATATAATTTGACGATATTCATTTTTTTTTCTTACTAGTTCATTATTTTTCTTACCTAATTTGACCATGTTGATTTTTTTATTCCATAACATGTAATTTGTTATTCCCATGGGATTGGCGGTATCAGATTGATCAAAGTTAAGAGCAATATTAAAAAAAAAACTTTTTATCTTTCTTTCTTTATTTTTTAACTTTTCAAAAATTTTAAAAATAGCAGAGGTGAAGATTAACGACCCGTTTGAATGAATTTTTTTTTTCAAAAATTGCATTTTATAAGTTAAAAGATATATTTTTCACTATAAGTTATTTTAGATTTCTATTATAAAAAAAGCAAAAATTACAGTTACTTATATAATTATATATAATAAATAAAATTTAAGGCTGCGCATGACAATCATTCTGATTCCTGACACTGTTTCTGAAAAGGAATGATTCTTTTCTATTTCTGTGCCTTGGAACAATTCTGAGAATCAGAATTACGTTTGTTAACATATTTTCTTTTTATTCCGAGAATCAGAATTACGTTTGATAACACATTTTTTTTTATTCCGATAATCAAAATTACGTTTGATAACACAATAAAAATCTATTTCTTTACTTTTGTTTATAGATTTCATCAACTGTATAAAATTGCAAATGACAATAGATTTTAACCGAAATACCAAATTTTATATTTAAAAAATTATATAAAAATTTATAATATTTTATTATATAGTTTTTTTACGACAATTCACATTTTTAACTATTATTTTTCAATCGTCTTCACAATTCACATTTTTTTTTCTCATTCCCTTGACCATTTTATTTTTTAATATCATATGCTAATATATAGTTGTCGGGATAGGATATTGTGACACCCAAGTTATGTTACACCCATGTGACACCCAAGTCAATCTCACCGTTAGATCGCTTATGTTGATCCAACGGTTATATTTATTTCCATCTTTGTATGATCATGATTTCCCAAATTTAATATTTTATATTTATTTCTACCTTTGTATGGTTATGATTTCCCATATTTAATGCTTTCACTTTAAATTTAGGAAATCATGACCATACAAAGATGGAAATAAATATAACCGTTGGATCAACATAAGCGATCTAACGGTGAGATTGACTGGGTGTCACATGGGTGTAACATAACTTGGGTGTCACAATATCCTATCCCATAGTTGTCATGCCTTAACCTCATCTTTGGATTGAGAGGAGAAAATGGAAAAAAGTTTTTAAAGTTTCAAATCTTTTCTCAATTGACTCAAGAGAAGAAAAATAAAGCAACTAAAATAATAGAAATTCTTGAAATAATTAAAATTAGAAATTTCCAAGTTTTGTTGAAAAGTATCTTTGCCGTTCACATGAATTCTTAATAATTAGAAGGATTGCCTTGTTTTGGTTGGGATAACAGTGGTGGGAATCTGTTAATTCTCACATACTTTTGTTAGTTTTTATTATGTGTTCTTCTATGTGGTTGAGGCTCTCTTTTTCTCCCTAATGTTTTTAAACAGGAAATAAAATGACAGTACTTTTAAGTTTTAAGAACTGTTCGATTGTTTGCATGTTAAATTATATTATGTGGTTCAATTTCAGGACATCCATGGATATCTTTCTACACAGAACGTACATTGAAGATCCTGCCCGTTGAATCAAAGTTGAAGCACCAAAATGGAGCTGCTTGCCACAACTTTGTTGCTGCACCTGAACCTAGGTTAGGAAGAAACAGGATGGATGATGGGTTCCTTAATGAGGTTTCAAGCCTTTCTTCATCATCTGAAAGTTGCAATTCAGAATATCATGATGTTTGTGTGTGGATTGATGCACTTGCCAATGCAATTTCACATGTAAGGATATCTGAACCAAAGAAGAGCAAGTTGTGGGCAGTTCCAATTCATCAACAAGGTTTATATAACATGAGGGCTAACCTCTGTAAAGCATTTTGACCTACTGACAGGTTGACACCCCATAAACCACTATCTCTGCTGCTTTAGCTGGGGTTTTATAGTATACTTTGCCCAACACATTCTACAGTTGGCAAAAGTGGATTACATTTTTTTCCTCTAAATAATGATTACTGAGAAAACTCAGCTAGTTGTACAGAACCTGTGAATATGATATTAGTGTGTCACTGCATGTTTTTGCTCTTGCTGGAGCATGATAAATAGAATGCTATGATTTCACTTCAGTGAAAACTTGACCTACTCATATGTTTTTTTGGAAGATTTTAATCCGAAACCATGAGTGCATAAGCGTATGTTATCCCTCCCATAACGCTGCATGTGTACTTATTTAGTGTTGGCAATTTGTATTTCAAGACATACTTTTTTGTACAGATGGTAGCGAGGAGTTTGACCTTGAGTCAATTATATATAGCAATGGCGTTTACTTTGAAAATGGAGTTGACAGCTGCTTGCTTATTTTCACTGAAAAAAAAAGGAAAAAAAAGTACTTCTACTTGTGTTTAGAAGAGGCGAATCTTAACTACCAGGGGATAGATTTTGAAAGGCTATAAAATTTAGATTCTTTATCTGTTAAGGTGAGGTTAAGGGGTAATCGAGATAATAGGTAGGAACATATTTAGGAAGAGGGTATAGCTGAAAAAGGAAACATTAGATAATTCAATCCAAACCGAAAAAAATTGGATTGGATCGGATCGGATCGGATCGGATTTGAAAACAAATTAAAACCGAATGCATGATTATATGATTAAACCGAAGGGATTGGATCGGATGAATTTTGCTTCCAAAATCGATCCAATCCAGACCGCGAACACCCCTAGTGAATCATATGCTCGGAAAAAGAAAGAAAATGTGCATATGCTTTGGAATATTTTTTTAACGAAGGAGGTAATTTATTATTTAGATCTCTCATGAGTCATGATGATTAGGATTGGCTCATAAAATGCTAGATTGAAATTAATGTTAAACAAATTTGTTTATTATTAGTTAAAAGAATAGAAAAATATGTAATCATAATAAATTAATTCTAGATTGTAGTAAAAATCATCAAAACATAACCAATCACCAAACTGAATTAATAATTTTTATAAATATAATCAAAACAATTAGTAATTCATGAAAATTGTGAATTTAAAAAAGTTTAAACCCAAAGTTTCTGGTTAGCTCATTACAAGTTGAGAGAAAAGTAAATTAATATGGATTGAATTTTGGTAACTTAAACCAGATTAATTGATAAGTCATGACTCAATTTAACAACTCCGGTATCAATTTAACAACTCCGGTATCGAGGTATAAGTGTTTACCCTCCTTTCGCTTTGAGTCAACTATGTATTGTGGTAAAATAAGAATAAAAATTTCATGGATATATCTTAAACATAATTTACTAATAAAATTGATTCATGAATTTTTGCCCTCATTTTTACTCTCATGGCTCAAAGTATTCCGATCAAATCAGGAAAAAAGAGAGGGATTTAGTGTGTCCTTTTAAAGGACGTAAATATGTCCTTTTAGACATAAATAGTTTTGTCAATAAAGAGAGGACAAATGATATATTTTAATTAAAATACGAGATAATTCTCTTTTTGTTTTTATTAGAAGAATGGGATGATTCTCTATAATTTAACCTTATATTTGGATTGAGGGGAGACAAGGGAAGAAAGTTTTTAAAGTTTCAAATCTTTTATCAATTGACTGAAGAGAAAAAAAAATAAAGGAACTAAAATAATAGAAATAAAAAATTAAAAAAATTAGCGTCATCTTTTTTTTTTAATCTTTTCTCTCATTTTCTTCCATGTCATTAAAAAATTATTAGGGCCTCTTTAGATGGGTTTTTCTCTCTTCAAAAGTTGTTTTACTTCAGGAAAAAAAAAGCATGTATGGGAGAAATATGTTTGGACGTCTACTTTTAAAAAGAGTAAAAGTCATAAAAAAAAGTTAAAAATCTTTTTTTTTAAATGAAAATTTTAGCTTCTAAAAATAACATAAGTTAAAACACAAATATTTTTTCAAAAACTAAATATTTTTTAAAAATCTAAATAACATTAACTTTTATAAAAAGTACTTCTAAAATAAATAAAATATAAAAATATTTTTTTTGAAAACTCATCCAAACAATCACTTATTCTCATAGAAGTGAAACAGAGCACTTTTATTATTATTGTGAATTTAAATTGGAATCAAGGAATGGGAACACCCATTTATCAAGTATATATTATTTTATTTTTTAAAAATTCCTGATATGAATTAAGAGAAATCAAATAAAGGAAATTCAAGAAAAAACAAAGTCAGGTATTGGATGAAGGAAATTCCTAAGATAGAAATTAGGGAACAAATTAGGGAGAAAGTCAAGAAGAATATCAGAAATTTGTGTAAGGAAAAAAGTCCAATATGATGACAATATTGAATGGTAATTAACCTGGTATTGACCAATCATAAAGGGGGAATAAATACCAATGATTTTCAGATTTCAAATTTGAATTACCATTTCAAAATCCAAGTTAAAGTTATTCATTAGTATTTTATAACAACTCCTACTTTATACATGTTCAATGTTAATATGATGACAATATTGAATGGTAATTAATATGATGAAAATAAAAAAGTCCAATTTCGTTAATATGATGACTATTAAATGGTAATTAATCTGATATTGAACAATATAAAGAAGGGAATAAATACCAATAATTTCCAGAATTCAATATTTGGATTACCATTTCGAAATCCAAATTAAAGTTATTCATTAGTTTTTTAAAACAGTTCCTACTTTATACACGTTCAATGCTTTTTCTTATATAATTTGACGATATTCATTTTTTTTCTTACTAGTTCATTATTTTTCTTACCTAATTTGACCCTGTTGATTTTTTTATTCCATAACATGTAATTTGTTATTCCCATGGGATTGGCGGTATCAGATTGATCAAAGTTAAGAGCAATATTAAAAAAAAACTTTTTATCTTTCTTTCTTTATTTTTTAACTTTTCAAAAATTTTAAAAATAGCAGAGGTGAAGATTAACGACCCGTTTGAATGAATTTTTTTTTCAAAAATTGCATTTTATAAGTAAAAAGATATATTTTTCACTATAAGTTATTTTAGATTTCTATTATAAAAAAAGCAAAAATTACAGTTACTTATATAATTATATATAATAAATAAAATTTACTGAAATGTAGCTGGGGCTCCGACCCTACCTAAGCATAATGTGGTTCCGCCACTGATGGGCAAGAAAACAAAAAAAAAACCGTCTAACGTCCAAAAGAATGGCTCCACACAATGGCGGAGCCAGAATTTAACTTTAGTTGGGGCAAAAAATTTGACATGTCAAACATTTATCATAATTACACATACCTTTTATTTTTTAATAATATAATATATGATGATTTATATTATTCATTTAAAAACATATTCTGAGATCAATTAGAATAATGTTTGGTTCATTAAGTTTTTAAAGTTTCAAATCTTTTCTCAATTGACTGAAGAGAAGAAAAATAAAGCAACTACAATAATAGAAATCAAAAATTAAAAAAAATTAGCGTCATCTCTTTCTTAATCTTTTCTCTCATTTTCTTCCATGTCATTAAAAATTTATTAGGGCCGTTTGGATGGATTTTTCTCTCTCAAAAAGTTGTCTTTCTTCAGAAAAAAAAAAGCATGTATGAAAAAATATGTTTGGACGCATGCTTTTAAAAAAAGCAAAAGTCATAAAAAAAAGTCAAAAATCTATTTATTTTTTTAAACTGAAAATTTTAACTTCTAAAAATAACATAAGTCAAATATTTTTTCAAAAACTAAATATTTTTTAAAAATTTAAATAACTTTAACTTTTATAAAAAGCACTTCTAAAATAAGTAAGGTATAATTTTTATTTTTTTTGAAAACTCATCCAAATAAACACTTATTCTCGTTGAAGTGAAACAGAGCACTTTTATTATTATTGTGAAGGAATGGAAACACCCATTATCAAGTATATATTATTTTATTTTTAAAAAATTCCTGATATGAATTAAGATAAATCAAATAAAGGAAATTCAAGAAAAACAAAGTGAGGTATTGGATGAAGGAAATTCCTAAGATAGAAATTAAATAGAAATTAGGGAACAAATTAGGGAGAAAGTCAAGAAGAATATCAGAAAATTATGTAAGGAAAAAAGTCCAGTTTCGTTAATATGATGACAATATTGAATGGTAATTAACCTGGTATTGACCAATCATAAAGGGAGAATAAATACCAATGATTTTCAGAATTCAAATTTGAATTACCATTTCAAAATCCAAGTTAAAGTTATTCATTAGTATTTTATAACAACTCCGATAATAGCACTTGTCTGGGCATCCTGGGGTTGTGACTCTGCTGGCAGTGTATGAGGAAGCTGATTGCTCTCATCTGGTGATGGAATTGTGCTCTGGGGGAAGACTTGTCGACCAGATGTTTAGGGAGGGCCCTTGTTCTGAACAGCGGGCTGCTAATATACTTAAGGAAGTGATGTTGGTCATCAAGTATTGTCATGATATGGGAGTTGTGCACAGAGATATCAAGCCTGAGAATATTCTGCTTACTGCTTCGGGGGAAATAAAGCTTGCTGATTTTGGCCTGGCCATGAGAATTTCTAAGGGTAATATGTTATAACTTCTATGAATAGAATCCTTACACAACCTGCCTTGTGTAAAATTCCATCCTAGTCATTCTGTTAATAAAAAATGTCTAGGCAAGTTTGAAGAAGTTCATCATGATGAGCTTTCAACTGAATTGTACTTTACTAATGTTACCCTGTACATAGGAGTAAAAATTGGAGAGTTCAGATGGTCATCTCCCTTAAGTTTACTATGTTCAGTATTCAATTAAATTTGCTAGCGGTCTAAGAATAAGAGGTCCTAGAGAAAATGCTTATAATAGTTTGAAGCTAACCATTCATACTCTAAGGTCACTTTGTTTAATTTTTAAGCATTTAAAAATATCAGTAATTCAATTGACATATATATAAATACACACACATAAGTAAAAGATACATACATGCATACATGAGTAATTTATGCATAGCCTCATTGTCTAGAAATTTGCATTGCAGGTCAGAACTTGACGGGTTTGGCTGGGAGCCCTGCATATGTTGCACCAGAAGTGTTGTTGGGTAGATACTCAGAAAAGGCGGATATATGGAGTGCTGGAGTGCTCCTGCATGCTCTGTTGGTTGGTGTTCTTCCATTTAAAGGGGATTCACAAGAAGCAGTTTTTGAGGCTATTAAGAATTCCAAGCTAGAGTTCCAAACCGGGATGTGGGAATCAATATCTAAACCTGCACGAGATCTTGTTGGGAGAATGCTGACAAGGGATATTTCAGCAAGGATAACAGCTGATGAAGTACTTAGTAAGTTTATGGTAGATTATTAATGTTTTGTAGCGTGCTTTATCTCTCTTCCTCAATGATGAATACACCAAAGACTAGTTGTATTTGGTCTGATTTTTTGTTTTTTAATCTTGAAATAATTAAAATTAGAAATTTCCAAGTTTTGTTGAAAAGTATCTTTGCCTTTCACATGAATTCTTAATAATTAGAAGGATTGCCTTGTTTTGGTTGGGATAACAGTGGTGGGAATCTGTTAATTCTCACATACTTTTGTTAGTTTTTATTATGTGTTCTTCTATGTGGTTGAGGCTCTCTTTTTCTCCCTAATGTTTTTAAACAGGAAATAAAATGACAGTACTTTTAAGTTTTAAGAACTGTTCGATTGTTTGCATGTTAAATTAATATTATGTGGTTCAATTTCAGGACATCCATGGATATCTTTCTACACAGAACGTACATTGAAGATCCTGCCCGTTGAATCAAAGTTGAAGCACCAAAATGGAGCTGCTTGCCACAACTTTGTTGCTGCACCTGAACCTAGGTTAGGAAGAAACAGGATGGATGATGGGTTCCTTAATGAGGTTTCAAGCCTTTCTTCATCATCTGAAAGTTGCAATTCAGAATATCATGATGTTTGTGTGTGGATTGATGCACTTGCCAATGCAATTTCACATGTAAGGATATCTGAACCAAAGAGGAGCAAGTTGTGGGCAGTTCCAATTCATCAGCAAGGTTTATATAACATGAGGGCTAACCTCTGTAAAGCATTTTGACCTACTGACAGGTTGACACCCCATAAACCACTATCTCTGCTGCTTTAGCTGGGGTTTTATAGTATACTTTGCCCAACACATTCTACAGTTGGCAAAAGTGGATTACATTTTTTTCCTCTAAATAATGATTACTGAGAAAACTCAGCTAGTTGTACAGAACCTGTGAATATGATATTAGTGTGTCACTGCATGTTTTTGCTCTTGCTGGAGCATGATAAATAGAATGCTATGATTTCACTTCAGTGAAAACTTGACCTACTCATATGTTTTTTTGGAAGATTTTAATCCGAAACCATGAGTGCATAAGCGTATGTTATCCCTCCCATAACGCTGCATGTGTACTTATTTAGTGTTGGCAATTTGTATTTCAAGACATACTTTTTTGTACAGATGGTAGCGAGGAGTTTGACCTTGAGTCAATTATATATAGCAATGGCGTTTACTTTGAAAATGGAGTTGACAGCTGCTTGCTTATTTTCACTGAAAAAAAAGGAAAAAAAAGTACTTCTACTTGTGTTTAGAAGAGGCGAATCTTAACTACCAGGGGATAGATTTTGAAAGGCTATAAAATTTAGATTCTTTATCTGTTAAGGTGAGGTTAAGGGGTAATCGAGATAATAGGTAGGAACATATTTAGGAAGAGGGTATAGCTGAAAAAGGAAACATTAGATAATTCAATCGATCGGATCGGATCGGATTTGAAAACAAATTAAAACCGAATGCATGATTATATGATTAAACCGATGGGATTGGATCCATTACAAGTTGAGAAAATTGTAAATTAATATGGATTGAATTTGTGTGTAACTTAAACCAGATTAATTGATTCAAATCAATTTAACAACTCCGGTGTGACTTTCGCACACATGTATTATGGTAAAATAAGAATAAAAATTTCATGGATATATCTTAAACATAATTTACTAATAAAATTGATTATGAATTTATTGCAAATTAATAATTAATTAATGAGTTTGATTTGAAAAGAGGGATTAAGTGTGTAATTTTAATAGGAGATAATATGTTAGAGAGACAAATGATATATTTTAATTAAAATACGAGATAATTCTCTTTTTGTTTTTATTAGAAGAATGGGATGATTCTCTATAATTTAACCTTATATTTGGATTGAGGGGAGAAAAGGGAAGAAAGTTTTTAAAGTTTCAAATCTTTTATCAATTGACTGAAAAGAAAAAAAAATAAAGGAACTAAAATAATAGAAATAAAAAATTAAAAAAATTAGCGTCATCTTTTTTTTTAATCTTTTCTCTCATTTTCTTCCATGTCATTAAAAAATTATTAGGGCCTCTTTGGATGGGTTTTTCTCTCTTCAAAAGTTGTTTTACTTCAGGAAAAAAAAAGCATGTATGGGAGAAATATGTTTGGACGTCTACTTTTAAAAAGAGTAAAAGTCATAAAAAAAAGTTAAAAATCTTTTTTTTTTAAATGAAAATTTTAGCTTCTAAAAATAACATAAGTTAAAACACAAATATTTTTTAAAAATTGAAATAACTTTAACTTTTATAAAAAGTAGTTCTAAAATAAATAAAATATAAAAATATTTTTTTTGAAAACTCATCCAAACAATCACTTATTCTCATAGAAGTGAAACAGAGTACTTTTATTATTATTGTGAATTTAAATTGGAATCAAGGAATGGGAACACCCATTTATCAAGTATATATTATTTTATTTTTTAAAAATTCCTGATATGAATTAAGAGAAATCAAATAAAGGAAATTCAAGAAAAAACAAAGTCAGGTATTGGATGAAGGAAATTCCTAAGGAAAAAAGTCCAATATATGAAATTAAATAGAAATTAGGGAACAAATTCAAATTTGAATTACCATTTCAAAATCCAAGTTAAAGTTATTCATTAGTATTTTATAACAACTCCTACTTTATACATGTTCAATGTTAATATGATGACAATATTGAATGGTAATTAATATGATGAAAATGAGAAACGTGTGTAAGGAAAAAAGTCCAATTTCGTTAATATGATGACTATTAAATGGTAATTAATCTGGTATTGAACAATATAAAGAAGGGAATAAATACCAATAATTTCCAGAATTCAATATTTGGATTACCATTTCAAAATCCAAATTAAAGTTATTCATTAGTTTTTTAAAACAGTTCCTACTTTATACACGTTCAATGCTTTTTCTTATATAATTTGACGATATTCATTTTTTTTTCTTACTAGTTCATTATTTTTCTTACCTAATTTGACCCTGTTGATTTTTTTATTCCATAACATGTAATTTGTTATTCCCATGGGATTGGCGGTATCAGATTGATCAAAGTTAAGAGCAATATTAAAAAAAAACTTTTTATCTTTCTTTCTTTATTTTTTAACTTTTCAAAAATTTTAAAAATAGCAGAGGTGAAGATTAACGACCCGTTTGAATGAATTTTTTTTTCAAAAATTGCATTTTATAAGTAAAAAGATATATTTTTCACTATAAGTTATTTTAGATTTCTATTATAAAAAAAGAAAAAATTACAGTTACTTATATAATTATATATAATAAATAAAATTTACTGAAATGTAGCTGGGGCTCCGACCCTACCTAAGCATAATGTGGTTCCGCCACTGATGGGCAAGAAAACAAAAAAAAACCGTCTAACGTCCAAAAGAATGGCTCCACACAATGGCGGAGCCAGAATTTAACTTTAGTTGGGGCAAAAAATTTGACATGTCAAACATTTATCATAATTACACATACCTTTTATTTTTTAATAATATAATATATGATGATTTATATTATTCATTTAAAAACATATTCTGAGATCAATTAGAATAATGTTTGGTTCATTACTTATTATGTTGTGGGAGGAAAGTGAAATTTTATGTTTGAAATGTTTATCGAAAAAGTTAGTGCATTTTTGTATGTTTGCTCTGATATATAATCAACGACAATTAGGCTGCGCATGACAATCATTCTGATTCCTGGCACTGTTTCTGAAAAGGAATGATTCTTTTCTATTTCTGTGCCTTGGAACAATTCTGAGAATCAGAATTACGTTTGTTAACATATTTTATTTTTATTCCGAGAATCAGAATTACGTTTGATAACACATTTTTTTTATTCCGATAATCAAAATTACGTTTGATAACAATAAAAATCTATTTCTTTACTTTTGTTTATAGATTTCATCAACTGTATAAAATTGCAAATGACAATAGATTTTAACCGAAATACCAAATTTTATATTTAAAAAATTATATAAAAATTTATAATATTTTATTATATAGTTTTTTTTACGACAATTGCTAATATATAGTTTTAACTATTATTTTTCAATCGTCTTCACAATTCACATTTTTTTTTCTCATTCCCTTGACCATTTTATTTTTTAATATCATATGCTAATATATAGTTGTCATGCCTTAACCTCATCTTTGGATTGAGAGGAGAAAATGGAAAAAAGTTTTTAAAGTTTCAAATCTTTTCTCAATTGACTGAAGAGAAGAAAAATAAAGCAACTACAATAATAGAAATCAAAAATTAAAAAAAATTAGCGTCATCTCTTTCTTAATCTTTTCTCTCATTTTCTTCCATGTCATTAAAAATTTATTAGGGCCGTTTGGATGGATTTTTCTCTCTCAAAAAGTTGTCTTTCTTCAGAAAAAAAAAAGCATGTATGAAAAAATATGTTTGGACGCCTGCTTTTAAAAAAAGCAAAAGTCATAAAAAAAGTCAAAAATCTATTTATTTTTTTAAACTGAAAATTTTAACTTCTAAAAATAACATAAGTCAAATATTTTTTCAAAAACTAAATATTTTTTAAAAATTTAAATAACTTTAACTTTTATAAAAAGCACTTCTAAAATAAGTAAGGTATAATTTTTATTTTTTTTGAAAACTCATCCAAATAAACACTTATTCTCGTTGAAGTGAAACAGAGCACTTTTATTATTATTGTGAAGGAATGGAAACACCCATTATCAAGTATATATTATTTTATTTTTAAAAAATTCCTGATATGAATTAAGATAAATCAAATAAAGGAAATTCAAGAAAAACAAAGTGAGGTATTGGATGAAGGAAATTCCTAAGATAGAAATTAAATAGAAATTAGGGAACAAATTAGGGAGAAAGTCAAGAAGAATATCAAAATTATGTAAGGAAAAAAGTCCAGTTTCGTTAATATGATGACAATATTGAATGGTAATTAACCTGGTATTGACCAATCATAAAGGGAGAATAAATACCAATGATTTTCAGAATTCAAATTTGAATTACCATTTCAAAATCCAAGTTAAAGTTATTCATTAGTATTTTATAACAACTCCTACTTTATGCATGTTCAATGTTAATATGATGACAATATTGAACGGTAATTAATATGATGAAAATGAGAAATGTGTGTAAGGAAAAAATCCAATTTGTTATTCCCATGGGATTGGCGTATCAGATTGGATCAAAGTTAAGAGCAATATTACAAAAAAAGCTTTTTTTCTTTTCTTTTTTTTTTTTAACTTTTCAACAATTTAAAAAATAGCAGAGGTGAAAATTAAGGACTTGTTTGAATTTTTTTTTCTTTCAAAAACTGCATTTTTAAGGAAAAAAATATTTTTCACTATACGTTAGTTGCGATTTCTATTTTAAAAAAAATAAATTGCAAAAAAGTCAAACATTTATGTGAAATTTGTTGACTATTGAATGGTAATTAATATGATGAAAATGAGAAACGTGTGTAAGGAAAAAAGTCCAATTTCGTTAATATGATGACTATTAAATGGTAATTAATCTGGTATTGAACAATATAAAGAAGGGAATAAATACCAATAATTTCTAGAATTCAATATTTGCATTACCATTTCAAAATCCAAATTAAAGTTATTCATTAGTTTTTTAAAACAGTTCCTACTTTATACACGTTCAATGCTTTTTCTTATATAATTTGACGATATTCATTTTTTTTTCTTACTAGTTCATTATTTTTCTTACCTAATTTGACCCTGTTGATTTTTTTATTCCACTGATTGAGGAAATTTTTTAAAATCGTAATCAAATACACCCCTTGAAATAGTGACGCACGCAGGAGAACATAAACTGGAACATCCTATATTATATTAAAGGAAACAACGTTAGCTAAGCAAAAAGAG